CCCCCCCCCGTCCTCCGGAACAGGAAAAGGTGCAAATCACTGTGCGCAACCTGCTGCCGCCTTTCCTCGATGGGCAGACGGCCTATACTCGACAGCAGAAGCCGGTCATCCCGGTGCGCGATTCCACCAGCGACTTGGCCCGGCTGTCGCGGCAGGGGTCGGCCCTGATGCAGGAGCGTCGCCAGCAGAAGGAGCGCGTCGATGCGCAGGGCAAGTTCTGGCAAGTGTCCGGCAGTGCCATGGGCCGGGTGGTGGGCATCAGCGAAGCCGATGACGAGGAGCTCCAGCGCCGTCGGGCGCAGGATTCCGCCCTCTCCGGTCGCGTGCTGAATGTCCAAACGGCCCCCGGGAGCACCGGCCAGGGGGCTGATTCTGGCTCCGGCACCGGCGGGATTGGCGATGCCAAGGCGGCGGCCGTGTCGGAATTTGCCCAGCAAAAGACCATCAAGCAGCAGGTATGGGCCTGGTGTCCGGCATTTCCCGTCTTTGCGACTCTCCCGTCTTGGCTTTGCTCCTGGGCCTGGGTTTGGCTGTGGTGTTGTTTTTTTTCTCCCCCCTCCCCCCCCCCCTCCCTTCTCTCCCCGTCCTCTAACTCGGCGGCCATGCACATGCAGCGCGAATTCCTGCCGGTCTTCAGTGTGCGAAATGACTTGATGCAGGTGATCCGCGACCACCAGGTGGTCATCGTCGTCGGCGAAACCGGGTCCGGCAAGACCACACAGCTGACGCAGTATCTCTGCGAAGCCGGCTATGCCAATGGCGGGCGGATGATCGGGTGCACGCAGCCCCGACGCGTGGCGGCCACCAGTGTCGCCGCACGTGTGGCCACCGAAATGGGCGTCAAGCTCGGCCAGGAGGTGGGCTACTCCATCCGTTTCGAGGATCGCACCGATGCCTCGACCAAAATCAAGTACATGACTGATGGTGTGCTGCTGCGTGAGAGCCTGGTCGATCCGGATCTCTCGCAGTACGGGGCCATTGTCATGGACGAGGCGCACGAGCGCTCCCTCAACACGGATGTCCTTCTGGGTATTCTGAAGCGCGTGGTGGCCGGACGCCGGGATCTGAAGCTGATCATCACCTCGGCCACCATGAACGCGGACAAGGTACAGCCATGGCCTCTCCTGTCTTCTGATGTCGGCCCTTGCCTGGCCTCTTTGTTCCTCTCCTTGTGCCCTCTCCTTGTGCCCTCTCCTTGTGCCCTCTCCTTGTGCCCTCTTCTTCTTCTTCTTCTTCTTCTTCTTCTTCTTCTCCCCGTCTCTCCTTCTCCCCTTCCTGTCCCTGCCTTCCCCCGTCGGAGGCCTGTCAAGGTGACATGGAGGACTTGCCGGCCCCTCTGACCCTTTCGCGTGTCCAGTTTTCCGCCTTCTTCGGCGAGGTTCCCTGCTTTTTCATTCCCGGACGCACATTCCCCGTGGACATCATGTTCTCCAAGGGCCCGGTGGAGGACTATGTTGAAACGGCGGTTCGCCAGATTTTGGACATCCACCTGGGCAGTCCCCCGGGAGACATTTTGGTCTTCATGACGGGGCAGGACGATGTCGAGACAACCTGCGAGGTGGTCCTCGAGCGGCTGGCCCAATTGGAGGACCCAGCCCCGTTGAATGTGTTGCCCATCTACTCGCAGCTGCCGGAGGAGCGCCAGCGCCTGGTCTTCGAGGGCGACGGCTCGGTCCGGAAGTGCATTGTAGCCACCAACATCGCCGAGACCTCCCTCACGGTGGACGGCATTGTCTATGTCATCGACTGTGGCTTCTACAAACTGAAGACCTATGACCCGCGTCATGGGATGGACATGCTGCTCATGTATCCCATTTCCCAGGCAAACGCCAACCAGCGTGCCGGTCGCGCTGGGCGCACCCAGCCCGGGTATGCCGCATTTCCTTCGCCCCCCCCCCCCCCCCGCCCACCTCTGACC